ACAAAATAGGCTTTAAGTCACAAAAGGTTACAAGAGCCAAAGAATGACACTATATATTGGTAAAAGTTTCATTACTGCAAGAATGTACAACACTTAAAAACCCAACAGAGGAGCCCCAAAATGTATGAAGCAAAAATTGATATAATTAAAGGATGAAATAGACCTCAATATGAGACTTAATACTTTCAAAAATGTGTGTTGCCTTCTGTGAACCTCACACAGAAGATAAATAAGAAAATAAAGACTTAAGCAGTTTATAAACCAGGTAGACCTAACAGTCATACACAAAACACTGAACCCAGCAACAGGAGATTATACATTCTTAAGTGTACGTGGAACATTCTCCAGGATAAACCATAGGTTAGGCCACAACTTAATAAATTGAAAAGATTGAAGTCATACGAATTATCTTCTTCTGTCATAATATAATGAAACTAGAAATTAATAACAGAAGGAAAACTGGAAAATTCACAAATATGTGGAATTAAAGAACACACTCTTAACTAGTGGATCAAATATGAAATCACCAGGGAAGTTAGAAAATCCCTGAGACAAGTGAAAATGAAACACAATGTACTAAAACTTAACAAGATGCTGCAAAAGCAGCCCTAAGAGGGAAATTTATATCTGTAAGTACATTAAAGAAGAAAGATCTCAGGTTAGTAACCTAACTAAACACCTTAAGGAATTAGAAAAAGAAGAGCACTTTAAACCCAAAGCTAGCAGCAGGAAGGAAATAGAAGTTAGAGCAGAGATAAATAAAACAGAGAACAGAAAAGCTGTAGAGAAAATCAACAAAACAAGAAATTGATTCTTTGAAAAGCTCAACCAAATTGACAAATCTCTAGCTAGATGGACTAACAAAAAAAAGAAGACTTGATTACTAACATTAGAAATGCAAGTAGAAGCCTCACTACCAATTTTACAGAAATAAAAAGTTATAAGAAAACTTTGCCTTAACAAATTAGATAACCTAGATAAAATGGACAAATTTGTAGAAACACAATCAACCAAACCCAACTCAAGAAGAAATAAAAAATCTGCATAGACCTATAACCAGTAAGGAAATTAAGTCAATAATAAAAAATATTCCAAGAAAGAAAAGCCACGGGCTACATGGATTCACTGGTAAATTCTGCCAGACATTTCAAGAAAAATTCACACCAGTTTTTTCAAATTCTCCTAAACATTGAAGAGAAGGTAAACACTTCCTAACTCAGTCAGTTAGGCCAGCATTATCCTTATCCCAAAGGCAAACAAAGACACTACAAGAAAACTACAGACTAATGTCTTTTGTGAATATAAATGCAAAAATACTCAACAAAATACTAGCAAACCAAATTTAGCCACATAGTAAAAGAAGTACATCATTCGCAAGTGGAATTTACTCCCAGAATGCAAGGATAGTTCAACATATGAAGATCAGTCAATTTAATACTTCACATGAATAGAATGAAGGAAAAACTCACGTGATCATCTCAATTAATGCAGAAAAGGCATATGACAAAATTCAACATCCCTTTGTGATAAAAATACTCAAATCAGGAATAGAAAGAACTTCCTTAACATGATAAAGTATTGTATGGAAACTCACAGCTAACAGGATACTGAATGGTGCAAGAGCAAAAGCTTTCTTTCTTAAGATCAGAAACAACGATGTCCACTTACACTGCTTCTAATCAACATGGTACTGCAAATTCTAGCCAGAGCAGGTAGGCAAGAAAAAGAAATAAAAGGCATCTACGTTGGAAGAGATGAAGTAAAAATTAACCCTGTTCACAGATGACATGATCTTATATGTAAAATCTCTAAGGAATCCACATAAAAATTTTAGATATAATAATAAAACAAATTCAGCAAAGTTGCAGGATATAAAATTAACCCATAAAACTAGTTGTATTTCTATGCATTTGCAATGAAAAATCCAAAAAGGAAATTGAGAAAAAAAATTCCATTTACAGTGGTATCAAAAAGAATAAAATAGGGATTAATTTAGCTGTGGAGGCAAAAGACTGTCCCTTTTCCATTGAGTGGGCTTGGCACCTTTTGGCACCTTTGTTGGAAATCAATTTACCATATATATGAGGATTTATTTCTGGGTTCTAGATTCTATTCTTTGGGTGTATATATCTGTCCTCCTGCAGTAGTACCACACAGTTTCAATTATTGTAGCATTAAAGCAAATTTTAAAATCAGGAAGCATGAGTTCTTCAACTTTGTTCTTTTTCAAATTGTTTTGGCTATTCATGGTTCCTTGAGATTCCACATGAATATTAGGGTGAGTTTTCCTATTTTTGCAAAAACACCATTGAGATTTTGATAGGGATTGCACTGACGTTATAGATCACTTTGAGTAGTATTGTTTTCTTAAAAATATTAAGTCTTCCAATTCAAGGACACACATGCCTCTCCATCTATGTCTTCTTTAATTTCTTTCAACAATGTTGTATAGTTTTCAGTGTATAGTAAGTATATACCCAAAGGAATTGAAAGCTAAGGCTCAAACAGATACTTACACAAACATGTAAGATAAGATACTTACACATGTTTGTGTAAGTATCTCATCTGTTTGAGCCTCAGCTTTCAATTTACGATAGCCAAAAGTAGCCTCAGCATTATTTATAGTAGCCAAAAGGTAGAAACAACCCAGATGTCCATCAACAATGAATAAACAAAACATGGTACAGTAGTCCACCTTTATACAGTATTTTGCTGTCTACAGTTTCAGTTACCCTCAGTAAAGTATAATAAGACATTTTGAGAGAGACAGAGACCACATCTACATAATTCTATTATAGTTTATTGTTTTATTTTATTAGTTATTGTTATTAACCTCTTACCATGCCTAAGGTATAAATTGAACTTTATCATAGGTATGTTTGTATAGGAAAAAACATAGTATATATAGGGTTCAGTAGTATTTGTAGTTTCAGGTATCTACTGGTGATCTTGGAACGTATCTACCACAGATAAGGAGGGACCACTGTATATACATAAAATGGAATATTATTCCACTATAAAAAGGAAGTTCTGTTACATGCTACAATATGGAAGGACTTTGAAAACATTAGCTAAGTGAAAGAAGCCAGACACAAAAGAACAAATATTCCACTTACATGAAGTGTCTAAAATGGGCAAATTTATAGAGATGGAAAGTAGATCAGAAGTTACTGGGAATTGTGGGAAAGGGAATGAAGAGTTACTGTTTAATGGTTGCAGAGTTTCTGTTTGGTGTCATAAAATGTTTTGGAAATAGTGGTAATGGTTGCACAATATTGTTAGTGTGATAAATGCCACTGAATTGTACACCTAAGAATGGTAAATTTTGGCAAATGTTATGTTGTATATAGTTTATCATAATTTTAAAGAATTAATACACTAAAACCATTGTATTGTGTCCTTTAAGTAGGTAAACTGCATGGTATCTGAAGACTATCTCAGTATTCAGCAGTTAATAAAAGGATACGATACTGCCAGGTGCAGTGGCTCATGCCTGTAATTCCAGCACTTTGGGAGGATGAGGCAGGTGGATTTCTTGAGCTCAAGAGTTTGAAACTAGCCTGGGCAACATGGCAAAATATCTTTTAAAAAAAATAAAATCTAGCCTGCCATGGCAGTGTGCGCCAGTAGTCCCAGCTACTTGGGAGGCTGAGGCAAGAGGATCGCTTGAGCCTGGGAAGGGGAGGTTGCAGTGAACTGAGATCATGCCACTGCACTTCAATCTGGGTGACAGACTGGGACCCTGTCTCAAAAAAAAAAAGTTACATACTATATGATTGTATTCATTTATAGTTCAAAAACAGGCTAGATTGACAGTGTTAGAAGTCATGATAGTTATCTTTATAGAGGAAGGAAGGTAATGTATTCAGAAACATAAATAATAATACCACATGGTAAATGCAATGTTAAGTGATTCTAGGGTGTTAGGAGAGCATATGGAACAGTCTATCCATGTGGCATGAGCAGAGAGTAAAGAGGTTGGAATGACCCTCTAAGCAGACATGGTGGTGTATAAAAAAGCCAGGAGTCTAGCAAATGCAGGGGATACAGGGAAGTCCGTGCTGCTGTGTGAATGTGCTGTAACATGAAATGTTAAGCAAGGCATGGTGGAAGATGAGTTGGAGAGGCAGAAAAGATCTAGAAAGTAGATAAACTGGGTTAGAATCTTGGATTTAGCATGTAGGTGGAAGGGAGAGGTAACAGGCTTTAAGGAGGGAAGTAATGTGGTTAGATATGCATTTTATTTAGATCACAGTGGGTGGCCGTGTAGGCAATGGATTTGAAGTTAAGTAACTTGCCCCAGTAGCAGGGCTGTGATTTAAAGCCAGATCTATCTGATTCCAAAGCTGGTAGGTTTGCCATCAAATCGAGTAGGAACTGAGGTTTTCTTTGAAGCCGTCCGGCTTCTACTTAGAAAGGAGATTCAAAAAATGAGACAAGCATAGATTGTTCCCTAGGTGTTTCTGTCTTCATATCTTGCCATCCTGAGATATTTTTAACGGAAGTATTTAGAAATCCTGGTTTTGGTTATTTATTTTAGAAAAGAAATTTCTTTTTAAGGGACAAAAAGGGATTAGTAGAATTTTTTTACTCTCTCTTTTGTCGAAGCCTGATTCTTCAAACACTAGATCAAAAATTGCTTCTCAGGTACTAAATTTGCAAGCAAGTGTAAGTGTTATAATAAAAGATTATAGCAAAAGTAATGATCCTTTAAGTTTAAAGTAGAATGCAGTGGTTTTTAACCAAACAGGTTAAGTGGTTCTCATATGAATATCTAAATAAAGGTATGAACTAGAGGAACTTTGAAGAACACTTAAATTTATATGTTTTAATATAAATATGACAGGCAATACTGAAGGAAATTATATATCTGCTGTTTTCAATAACAAAAATGATCTAACAAAAGGTCAAAAAGTAATATAAAATAGTAGATATATAGCTTTATAAAACTGAGCATCACAGATTTATATCTAATTTCATCTCATTTATTTCTTTTATAGGCCTACACAAGTGAAATGGCAGCTGATGGTAGCTAGTTGTTTTAGAAGAAGTGGTAAATGCTTTAGTTTTATTCATTTTATAGATATTTTGCTTCTTTCCTTCTAGATAATCATACATATAAATGTGTTCCAGTTGCATATCTGCTTATTAAAACACTAACTTTTTATAACTGTACATATTCAAAGCATTGTGTGAAAAACACAATAATTACTACATACAAAAAAAGTTGTGCTTACAAAGTAGATATTAATCATGTATTCCAATACTTTTCTTAAAAACAGATTTATTATTTCTCAAACTTAACATGTAATCATTTTCACAAGTTAGCCACAGAAAAAAAATGGGCATACTGTATACATTATATGACCATTTTCTACTCAGTTGGTTCTAAATGTCCTGTGTGCTCGGCCAAATTTATGACATTTGTGAAGCCTGAGAAAAGCTCACACTGAGACAAGTGCGACTATATGTTTTTTATACCGAAGATCACTAGCTATCTTGGTTTGTGTTTTGTTACTGCTTTTATTAAATTCTTGCTGATGACACATGTCCTGAAGGATGGAGATGCTATTAGTTTTAGGCTAACTGTGAAGTGAATAATATACATAAAATGTCAAAGATCAAGCTGGGAGAGAAATGTTCACAAATTTATAATCCCTCTTGTAGAGCATAAAAATGACCCAGGAAAAGAAAGTATTCAATCTAAGGGAAGAGGGAAGCACAAGTTTTGAAAGTGTTGGCAGTTTGTTCTCACCCGGTGTGCGGGGAGGTTTCCTTCTTTATCTCTGTGAGCACCTTCAGAATGGCACCAGAAATGTTTTAATACATAACTCAGTGTATGCCTCAAATCATTTTAGGGGGGATCTGTAATTCTTATTGGATATACAACATGACTATACCATATGCATTCAATTTATATCAACATGAGTTCTCAATTGCCTATGTTCATTTCAACGTCAGTCATATAGAAAGTATATATATACACATATGAACTATTCTAAATTATTTAAAGACATAGCCTGCTTCAGTTATGGAAGTACAGGTTAGAAGCAGCAGCTAGCATTGAGAACTGGCTTTGTGTCAGATGCTTCCTGTCTCTATTTCATCCCTCTTGTAGAGAGAGGCCCAGAGAAATTTATAACTCATTTGCTAAGATTTTAGGAAAGATCTTTGACCCAAATTCGTTTTTCCTATTCTTTGCTGCTACATGAAACTAAATTATTTTGTTATAAAATAAATTGCTTTCTATAAACTTTTTAATGTTTAAAAAACCGTAAAGGCCGGGCACAGTGGCTCACACCTGTAATTTCAGCACTTTGGGAGGCTGAGGCGGGCAGATCATGAGGTCAAGAGATCGAGACCATCCTGGCCAACATGGTGAAACCCCGTCTCTACTAAAAATACAAAAATTATCTGGGTGTGGTGGCACATGCCTGTAGTCCCAGCTACTCGGGAGGCTGAAGCAGGAGAATCGCTTGAACCCGGGAGACGGAGGTTGGAGGTTACAGTGAGCTGAGATTGCACCACTAAACTCTGTCTGGAAAAAAAAAAAATTAATAACACAAAAACATTTATTTATTCATTCACCTATTTATTTTGAGACAGAGTTTTGCTCTGTCACCCAGGCTGGGCTGCAGTGGCACTAATCTCAGTGCAGTGCAACTTCCACCTCCTGGGTTCAAGCGATTCTCCTATGTCAGCCTCCCCAGTAGCTGGGATTATAGGCGTGCGCCACCATGGCCAGTTAATTTTTGTATTTTTAGTATAGAAGGGGTTTTACCATGTTGCCCAGGCTGGTCTCAAACTCCTGACCTCAAGTGGTCCACCCACCTCGGCCTCCCAAAGTGCTGGGATTACAGGAGTGAGCACCACGCTCAGCCCAAAAAAACTATAAAAACATCTTAAATATTTTCCAACTAAATGGATGACATTGACATTACTATAAGTATATAACTTAGATTATTTTTAAATTTGTCAGTTCATCTGGAATAATCTTTTTTAGAAAATTGAGTGGATCTTAATTTTTGCCACTAAAATATTTAAAGTGAACCAGGCTCAGCAATGTGCATCTGTAGTCCCAGCTACCCTGGAGGCTAAGACAGGAGGATTGTTTCAGCTCAGGAGTTTATAGGCTGTAGTGCATAATGATTGTGCCTGTGAATAGCCACTGCACTCCAACCTGGGCAACAGAGTGAGACCTCGTCTCTTAAAAAAAAAAAAAAAAAGGAAGAAGCTAAATTTCAACTATCACCCGTTTACTTCTGCTTTAACCCTTATTTCAAATTTATTTTATCTGTACATTTTTCTTCTAAAAGTTATATTGAGTGGTATAAAAAACATGAAACCTTTCTATTAAACCATTAAATAGCCAGTATGTCAGTTAAAATTAATATTTTTCTGAATCCTGTTAGTTTCTATAATTTGCTAATATGCTATATTTTTCTCATTTGTTTATAGGTAACTACCAAAAAGCATTAGATACTTATAAAGATACTCACAGAAAATTTCCAGAAAATGTCGAATGTAAGTGGCATTACATAAGATAACGTTGAAGTGATAAGTTCTCATATTTTATGTTCTAATATATAATTACATTTGCTACAGTAATTGTATATATAAATACCAATCTATAATTTGTGATACTTTAAATATTTTATAGGTTCAAAAAATTTGACTATGCAAGTACATATTTTTATATAACTAATTGTTGATGGATTTAAATATACCACAGAATTTTTTTTAATACTAAACAAATACATGTTTCAGATTCTATAGAATTTTAAGAAAGCATTTGGCCTATGGTTGATTTTTCAAAGTTTGTAAACCTGTGGTGTTTTATAGGAAAGACATTTTTAACTGTCCATTTTAGTAAACAACTTTTTAAGGTTGAGAAAATAATTTTAGGGTTTATAAAAATAGAACATTAATATCTTGCTGATATAATAGCAAATAATTTTTTTACTTAGAGTCTTGCTCTGTTGCCCAGGCTAGAGTGCAGTGGTATGATCTCGGCTCATCACAACCTCCACCTCCCGGGTTCAAGTGATTCTCCTTCATCAGCCTCCCTGGTAGCTGGGACTCTAGGCATGCGCCACTGTGCCTGGCTAATTTTTATATTTTTAGTGGAGACGGGGTTTCACTGTGTTGGCCAGGCTGGTCTCAAACTCCTGACCTCGTGATCTACCCGCCTTGGCTTCCCAAAGTGCTGGGATTACAGGCATAAGCCACTGCTCCTGGCCCCAAATAATTTTTAATATTACTTCAATTTTAAAACATTATGTTAATATGCTGCTTACTCACTTGTAAAGTTATCTTTGTAGAAGATATTCATTTATTTACTATCTTGTTGCACAGTGGATTGATGCAACTTACAGTATTAATGTGAAGTATTGTAGCAGTAACAGAATCAAGAAAAACATATTCTCACTAAACTATAAATTTGTCCCTGAATAGCCTTGCAACCAAAGGAAAGAAAATGTTACAAGTAGTTGTATAATTTTTACTGTTTTATGTGGAAATATAAAGCAATTTATTGGGAAGAAGTATTTCTTCAACTCTTAATTCACTTCTCTTTAGACATTGAGAGATACAGTAGATAAAATCATTGAAAGATACAGTAGATATTTTCTTAAATAACATCCCTATAGCAAATAAAATAATATGCTGGAAACAACCATGTTAAAATTTGTTCTTGAAGGCTGGGCACAGTGGCTCACACCTGTAATCCCAGCACTTTGGGAGGCTGAGGTGGGCAGATCACCTGAGGTCAGGAGGTCAAGACCAGCCTGGCCAACAGAGCGAGATTCTGTCTCAAAATAAATAAATAAACAAATAAATAAACAAATTTGTTCTTTGATGACAATGAACACAAAACAATGCATTACAATTTAGTAAAAACAAATCTTTTCTGAGCCAAGTTTTCTGATGGCTAAGGACTAGATGTACTACATGTTTCTTCACTAACGTATTTCTCCATTTGGCTTTCTAGAAATGCTCAACAGCAGTTAGCTTGGCTATGGTCTTTGGTAGGAGTGTAGGAGCAGGGTGTTCTCTAATGCTGATTAGAAGTAGACTCATTAATTTAATAGCAGTAGTTTCCACAAATGCCAGTCAGGAAATAGGCTACATGGGAATTACTTCTAGAACTTTTTTTTTTTTTTTTGAGATGGAGTTTTCTTCTTGTCACATAGGCTGAAGTGCAGTGGCATGATCTTGGCTCACTGCAACCTCTGCCTCCCAGGTTCAAGAGATTCTCCTGCTTCAGCGTCCCTAGTAGCTGGGATTACAGGCGCACGCCAGGACGCCCAACTAATTTTTGTTTTTAATAGAGACGGGGCTCTACTAAAAACAAAATCACTCTTCAAGCGATTCTCTCGCTTCAGCCTCCCAAATTGCTAGGATTGCAGGTGTGAGCCACCACGCCCAGCCTAGAACTTTTTTAAAGTACAAATTTCTAGCCCTACCTAGAAAGATTTTCATTTAGATTTGCAGTGGACGCAGGCATCTGTTTTTTCCTATTTCTTTTTAAAGAACTTTCTATGTGATTCTTAATCTCAGTCACATTAGAGAACTAGTGCTTTAGAGATTAAATGAGAGATAGCAGTAATAACTTTTCTTGAAAGTGGAGCAACCCAAAAGTCTGCTAGGCCAGAGTTTCTCAGCCTTGGCACCTCTGACATGTGGGATTGTGCAGTTCCACATTGTGGGAGGCCATCCAGGAGGTTATGGAATGTTTAACAAAATCCTTTGCCGCTATCCAATAGATTAGCTAGTAGCGCTCCCATCCCCACGTAGAAAACCAGAAATGTCTCTAGACATTGCCAGGGCCTCTTGGGGGTGCAAAATTGATGCCAGTTGAGACTCTTGCAGTAACCATAGCACCTCTGCACTGGGCCAGAAAGGGGAATGTCTTCAAGGAAGGCCAGGTTTTTTTCTTAAGAGTATGAGTCACTCTAAGAATCGAATGAATGATTGTCTATGCCATAGGGGGTGTCTAAGATAACTTTGGCCTATTTAATTTTCAAAACAAATGTAATCAATACTCTACCTTAACTATAGTCGTAGAAAAAACATTGACACCCGTGGAATGTGCTGTTTTAAGAAGAGTAGTTTTCTGGATAAAACTAACAGGATAATTTAGTTTTAAAATATATTATTCACCAAAAATTGACCTGCTTTACAGAGTTACAGATGATATACTAAATTTCAGAGAACATCCACCAAAAATAATGATTTTTACTTTACATTAAATGTTTCTGGCTATGCGTGATGGCTCATGTCTGTAATCTCTACACTTTGGGAGACCGAGGCCGAAGGATTGCTTTAGCCCAGGAATTCAAGACTAGCCTGGGAAGCAGAGCAAGACCTCATCTCTTCTAAATATGAAAAAAATAGCAGGGCATGGTGGCGTGCTCTTATAGTTCCAGCTGCTGAGGAGGCTGAGACGGAGGGATCACTTGAACCCAGGACTTCCAAACTGCAGTGAGCTGTGATTGTGTCACTGCGCTCCAGCCTGGGCATCCCTAAATCTAAAAAAAAAAAATTCCTAAGCCACTCTTTATTTGCAGAAAGTACAAATTACCTTCTTATTATGAATTATTAATATAAATGTATATGCAAAGGCAATTTAAATAGTAATGTGTGACATTTTAAGTTACTTTATACTATTAACTTCTACAATACTTTATGGTCCTTTTTTTTTTTTTGAGACAGAGAATCTCACTCTGTCACCCAGGCTAGAGTGCAGTGGTGTGATCTCAGTTCACTGTAACCTCTGTTGCCCGGGTTCAAGTAATTCTCCTGCCTCAGCCTCTGGAGTAGCTGGGATTACAGGTGCCTGCCACCATGCCCAGCTAATTTTTGTAGTTTTAGTAGGGATGGGGTTTCACCATTTTGGCCAGGCTGGTCTTGAACTCCTGACCTTATGATCTACCCACCTTGGCCTCCCAAAGTGCTGGGATTACAGGCGTGAGCCACCATGCCTGGTTCACTTTAATGGTCTTAAATTACTTGTATATTTACAAATTATTGCGGAGTTGAGTGACTACTCTGTTCCAGACGTTGTTCTGGCACTGTGGATGTAGCAGAAAACAAAACAGACCAAAACTTTGGTGTCATGGAACTTGTTTCTAGTGGGAAGAGAAAAGACAATGAACAAATAATATCAGTAGTTATAAGTGCTATGAAGGAAAAACAGGTAAGGAGACAGAGAATATGGGAGGGACTGGTATTTGAGACAGGGTTGTCATGGAAGGGCATTCTATTAAATTAGCATTTGAGCAGAGACCTGAAAGAATAGAAAGAAGCAAGCCATGACAATGTGGAGGTCAGTGTGGTCGAAGCACAGTGGACGATGTGATGGGGAGAGAGAGGCAGAATGGGCGGGCCAGGACCTGTAGATCCTCACAGGCTTTAGATCAGGGCTTCAAATTATATTTTTGGGGAGATGATGAACCATTGGAGGATTTTGTGTGGAAGAATAATACAATTTGACATATGTTTTCAAAAGGTTCTAAAGTATGATTAATTCAATCTTCTGTGCCTGAGATCCAAATCAAAAGATTGTTTTGGCTGCTGTATGAGAATAAGCTGGGGTGGGCCGTACCTAAATGCAAAATCACAGTATTCACTTGGACTAATGAGATAGCAGTGGAGGTAGGCAAGACGGATTCTGAATATGTATCAACGGTATCAGTGCTAGCACTTGCTGGCCATTTAGATGTGAGACATGAGGGAGAGAGTGTCATGGGTGACTGCACAAATATAGCTCTGGGCAGCTGGAAGGATGGAGCTGCCATCCACTGAGATGTGAGAAACTGGGGAAGAAGCAGCTTTTGGAGGGAAAAATCAAACCCTTTTTTCAGATGTGTTGTGTTTGAGCTGCCTCTTCAGTGTCCAAGAGGATGTGTTAAATAAGCACTTAGGGAGAAGTTGGGGCCATCTTCATATACATTTATTTCAGCATGTTTAGCACACATTTTTGTGTTCTGTTATTATATATACTATCAGTAATATTTTTGAAAAAAATGAGTGTTCACTAGCTTTAAGACTTTCCTGTTTCTTTATCCATTCATTTGTTCCCCAGGACTTTTACCAACTATTTTTTATGTGCTGGGGATACAACAGATATATCAACTTGTTTTCTGCCTCCTAGGACTCACAAATAGTTAACTGATATGGGATAATAAATGAGATAACTGAAAAATGTGCCAAGTGCTGTCAAAATACAGAGGAGCTCTTAACTCTGCCCAAACTAGGGGACCATTGACATAATGAGGTTTTACAGAGGAAGTAACATTTAAAGTGGCCTTGAAGGGTACGTTTACCCGGAGGGGAGGCAGGAACAGGCACTGCAGGTAGACAGCAGCATTAGTCAGGGCAGAGGTAGAGGGATGCAGAGTCTGTTTCAAAAGGTAGTCTGTTGTGGAAAATGTAGCAGATTGAACTTGTGTTTTCTTATACTACAAACCAAAAAAAGACAGTTTATAAAAATTATAATAAATGCAGCTGGGTGCAGTGGCACA